AACAGTTCCCTGAAATATCAGACCTACTACTAAGAATCTCACTATAGGTCTTGATCAGTATATGACTTTTGACCATTATGTTACTAAACTTATCTTAGCTTTTGTAAAGTAAGAGACATTTCAGTATAAAGTTAGATTGCATTTGCACACAAGTAGTTCAGCATGAGTGTATTAGTATCAGCAACTGGAAGTGACTGTCAAAACAAAAAGAGCAAACACAGAGTGGGTGGGTGTGAAATACGAGACTTACTTCACTCAAGGCCAGCTACACTGAGCTGAAACTAAAGAAGTGTTCATCTTTCAGCAGAGATCAGGACATGGAAGCTATTTAGATGCAAGCTCTACAGTTGTGAATAACTGACTGAATGGAGCTCAGCAGCAAGCTTTGATCTGAAACAACACTCTACTGCCATGCCACAGTCAGGAGTGTGGATGTGCATACTAAACATGAGCAGAGAACAGCTCTTTAGCCCAATACACTTCCTCACACTTACCATTTACATTTGTCTAAGCATCACAGGTTGCTGTTTCTTCACAAGCCTGCAGGCTACAGTTAGAATCATTACCAGTGTCTGCAGGAGCACACTAGCCAAGCCTTTTCACACATCTGTCTTTTTCAGTCTGTTTCTTTGGTAATGAAACTCATAGAAGGACCTGTCTGCCCAGGTCTCTCCTTCAGTGGTGGTGTTTCAATATGGACAGCACACTTTCAGTAAACCTTCTCAGTCTGATATTATGGCTGGAAAAACAAAGAGATCATAGAACTCTTTGTAGTGCTGTCTTGTGGAGGTGCATGTTTCTGCAGGTTTGTTGAAGTTAGCAAAATGTATGGTCCTCAGACAAAGACCAGCAATAGAAACTCTAACAAGGTTTACACAAATGGTGTACATTGGTCCATTATGTTATGAGAGCACTCCAGGTCTGTCAGCACTATGTGATTTAGAGAAGAAAGCACCATCTGACCCTGAGTGGAGGGCCATGCTGATGAAATTGACGAATGAAAAATCTCATTATGTCGAAGCCTGAAGTGGTGATGTATCTTAAAGGCCTATGTTCCTGCCTAGTCCCAACAAGACAGCTTGAAGGTGTTAATGCCACAAACACGACAGCTTCATGTTTTTCATCCAAACTGTTGTAATAGATTGTAAATCTCTTCTGAGATTAAGGGTACCTTTATGAGCTGTGATGTTAAAAACAAAAAAAGCAAAACACTAAGCCTCGTTGTGGAAGCTAGTCGCATGGAATCGGTTTTAGTCATAATGGGGCTTACAAAGGGCACACTGATGAATCTGTTCTCTTAGCCTTCAGAAAGGCACTGTTTTCAGTTTGTTCTAAACGTTATAAAAATTACCGCAGTCAGACTTAAAATTTTTATCACCCTAAATAATTTCCCTCATGATGACATGACTGTTGAAGTAAGGTCCAAGTAAGTTTGGGAGTGAAATTTGTAGTAAATGTGCTGAACTATTGCTAATGTTTTTAGAATGAAAAAATGTAGAAGGCAGTTGTTTATTGGGGTTCACCTATTTCATGTCAACTTTGTGTCAGCTGCATGAACAACGAGCTGCCCATCAAGAGAAACAGAATCAGCCCAGTTTGCATTGACATTACAGTGTTTCCTCTAGGATGTTTTTCAGCAGCGGGCGCAGGCTCTCCGGGGAACTGTGGTGGTGTAAACAAATGACACTTGACTGTAGATTTTACTTTTACAACCTATTTATTGAATGGCCAGTTGAAAATGGCTTTTTAAAGGCTGAATGTAAAAAATAAAAACAAAAAAGAAATAAAATAAAAAAATTAAATACATATAAATAATAGCAATAAATAATAATTTCTTGATGTGGCTGTAGAATCAGTGGCAAAGATTGCACCCAGGCTAAGAACAATTAATTTTTCTGGGTTTTTTTAATAGAAGAGCTCTAAGGCTCTGTTGTAGGGAAATTCTCTGAGAAATTCTTTGTAAACATTGACATGTATAGCATGCAAAAAAAAAAGAAAGGAAAAAAAGGTTCATGGACACTCACCATTATCAGTGTGGTGGAGCCATGAGTGGCACTGGCTATTGCTTTCAACCCATGTAGGGTCCCCGCCTCATAGCCTGTGCTCCGCTTTAGGTTCTTCTCCTCTACTCTCATCTCTCTCTCCTGTTCCTTCACTCAGCTCTCCCCCTGCTGTACTCTGCTCTCCTTCACTTTGTTCCACTGCTCCACCCTGTCTAACGTTACTTATCTTGTACGATTACATAAAACACTAACGTTAGATTCGATTATTAGATTCGATCATTTACACTCACATCACATCTGATTACAATTGTGAACACAATTTTTTTACCTGACCATCATCATTTATGAGTCAGTGAAAGGCTAATGATAGCTGGCTAACATCATTTCCATCAGGTGTCTTTCTCTTCTTAGAGAAATATTTGAACAAACTCATCTGAAGATGCAGTCAGCAGCATTCATGGCGTGTAGATGTTAGCTTAATGCTATCAGTTAGTTTACTCACATTCGCGACACTGAGTTGGCACTGGGCCCAATTAACTTAAGCTACCCATATGTTACATATCGTTGGCAGGCCATCGATATTTTGCGAATGACTATTTAACTTAAAAATCTATTCTGAGTTATCCTAAGCTAATAAGTCTACATTTACCATGTAAGTTGCTGCCTTATTCTCCAAGATGACCCTCCTCTGATTCTCTGACCTGGAGCCTGGTGCTGGACGTGATGTCACTTTAAAGGCCACGCTCTCGTGAGTAATTGATGTCATATTAACCCCCCAAAGAGTAGATACTGAGAAAGATAATTATCTGTAGTTTACCTTAGTACTCGCCAGTAAGTAACGTTGTATTAACCCCTCAAAGAGCAGATACTGAGCAAGTGCAGGACTCTGCTGTGAAGGTGGAGACATGCGGCAGTGGTGTATTTGCGACAGTAAAAAAACACAAAAAAAGAAATTTGAAGGAGCGGCAGTTAGGATTTAGGAATGGAGGCCTGCCACTCCTAAATGAATATAGAGGAAACGCTGCATTATGATTTAGCAACACATTTAGTCACAGATTCAGTGCGAAGCCTGCTTTACTTACTGCTGCCTGGTTTAGATTAGATAGAACTTTATTGATCCCTTTGGTAGGGCACCTTAGGGAAATTGTTGAATGGTTTAAAACTGCTACATGGCATATGCCTTAGCAACATTCTTTGAATAAAGAAATTTGAGTATAACTGTGTTCATATTGCAACACTATGTCTTTAAAGTGTCAATTTACCAGTTAAGAAAGCAATAAGCCAATATTCTTTGAATGTGTATCCTGTACAAAGAATGCAAAAAGAGGAGCAACATTGTGCCAGATACACTCAGGCCTGTTTGATGGACACTTCTAGCCCATGTCTTTTCATGAATAATTATTGTTAGAATGATAGTAATTTCATATTGACAGTTAATATTTTCACTATACAATGGCTCAAACTCAAAGTGGAACTCAGAGACAAAGGAGCACCAAAGTGATCGAGACTGCTGTTGACTCATGTGAACTGAATTTAGAATAATGATGTCATTGGCAAACCGTTAACATGGTAAACTGGGGGGATGCAGTCTGCCTTTGTCTCTTACTGACATTGCAGTTGACAAGAGGGGCCAGAAGAGTCCTAGGCATCCACTGCCATGGTAACAGTAACACCCCCCCAACCCCATGTAGCTATACATGGAGGAGAAGGAGAGAAGAAAAGACAAAAGACTGAAGGACAAGCTGAACAACTGATAGCGACAGAGGTAAAATAACAGCCAGTTTGTCCTCCTCCACGCTTTCACCGAGGCAGAGGTGTATGTGTGTGTCCTTTGGGAAATTGCGTGCCAGTGCGAAGCTGTGCAGCACCCGTAAATCTCAGCCGCTGAGCTGCCATTAATCTTGAATGTTTGCCTGTTTGTAACGGATTATAAGGCGCCAGAACTAATGAGTTTTAGACCTGAACCTTGAGCTTACTCTAGCAAAGACATGGGAGAAGAGAACGAGGAGAAGAGGAAGGAGTTGATCAAAATGAAAGACAAAAAAACCCAAAACAAAACAAAACAACAAACATAATGGGACACAATTGAAAGACAGAGACACAGTGTCGTAGGTCTGGATTTGTTGGTATTTCTGAAGTATTACACAACCGAGCACTGGAGGAGCTGCAGGTCACTGCAGTGTTTTGCTGCACATATTCATACAGGAGTACCAGACATGAGACAAGCAGAGTTGGTGGTTCAGTTCCTGGTTCCTCCTGTGCAAATGCCAAAGGGTCTTTAATGATGACACCAAATCCCAAATCCTAATGTGTGTATGTGAGAAAAAATGTATGCCACAGTGGGAGAAAGCATTTTCCAAATAAATGTACTGTGATGCAGCTTTATGAAAATGGCTTTTCATTTGATTTCCTCAGCATCTCCAACCCGGCTAAAATGTATTGTCTCATGCTTCAGTTTGTTTACACTGACTGTGACATAATTACTTTCGTTTGAAACTTTTAGATTTGTACTACAATGTGAACATGTTGCAGATTTGAATAGTGGTAAATTCTATTTATGCTGATGGACCTCAGTGGTGGTTCTGGCAGGAATGTCAAGGTAGAACTGGGAAAATCATGGTTCAGGGGGTTGACATGCTACTTCTTTTGAAGGGCATTTGAATTACAGGTTGAAAAATTGCTTAGGGTATATATATGTATATATATTTATAGATGTGTGTGTGTGTGTGTGTGTGTGTGTGTGTGTATTTTACCTTCAATTTAATTCTTGTCCAGATGTTCCTGCTCAATTATCTTCAGAAGGAAAAAGCTGTGTGTTGTGCATGTGTGAAAGTGCATATACATCTGTGTAAATATGTGTTTCATTACTGAATGTGCACCTCCAGGGTAATTACTGAGAAACTGGTGCTTCATCCTAATGACAGTCAGTCCTTCAGGTCAGAACAACGGCATCATGGTATGAAAATCCTCCTAATTCTACTCATGTTCCTTTCACAGAAGCCTGGCCTGAAGCCTTTAGCCATGTCACAGCCCCACTGGAAAAAACCATTGGTGATGCCAGGCCAGCAGTTCAGGTGATGGCTCTAATTTACATCAAGGAACATGTCACACTTTCAGATTTGCTCTAAATGTTTTCTGATTGACGCAGACATTCAAGGCTCCACACTACCTTTCTCTGATGGTTTCACTGGCACACTCATTTTTAATTTATTCAATATAAATGAGGTTCCGCAAAAAAAAAAAATGTAACGTACCCTTTGATGCTAAATAATTAATTTTAACTAGCATCTTTTTGGGCTGCACAGTGACTCGGTGGTTATCACTGTCGCCCCATACCTAAAAGATCCCTGGTTCACATCCCGGCCTGGGGTGGGTCTGTGTGGAGTTTGCGTGTTTTCCGAGTGCTCTGGCTTCCTTTCACAGTCCAAACACATGATGAGGTTTATTGATTCTAATTGGTTCTAAATTGTCTGTATGTGAATGTGAGTGTGCTTGGTTGTCTGTCTCTCTATGTGGCCGTGTGATGGACTGGTGACCTGTCCAAGGTGTCCCCTGCCTTGCCCTAAGTCAGCTAGGATAGGCTCCAGCTGCCCTAGTGAGGATTAAGCAGGGTATAGATAATGGATGGATGGATGGATGGTATCTTTTTATTTGTTCCCATGCACATTGGGAATTTCTTAGCACATTATGTAGATTAACAGGAATAGGAAGGTGCAGGTAAACATTTAATTTTTTTTGTAGGGTTACCTCAGATTTGATGTTAGTAAAAGCAGGGTTACATGTTGTTATCATTTCAGATTCCTCACTGCTTCCATGTGCTGAGGCCTGGCACTGAAACCCTGCAGGGAGGGGTGCTGTACACCCACCTATCATGTTCTTTTATAGATGGCCATTTCCCATAGTCTGACAATTTACTTGTGCTAGTCGATGGCAATGTGCTAGCTGAGACCCATGCAATATAGAGGGGTAACCCAGGTTGTATTCTAAAGCTGCAGTTTACCAGCTCTCCCAAAAGGCCTGACATGCATTGGTAGATGCTGCTAGTTACTTTGAGAATGTCAGATTTTCCCAAATTGAAAACAAATGACTCTACTACATGGGATGCACGCAGACCCACACACACAGACCTGCTTAATGTCAGGTGCACCAGTTCAACCAATGACAATGGTGAGCTGCACTTCACAGGTTTTTGGTCGCACAAAATGGCTGCATGCTGGAGCCTTGACATTAGTTTCTAACAAGAACCAAACTCAAGAATACCTTTTTCTCCTTCACTATCTTTTTCTTCATCTCCTCTTCTGCCTTCTCACTCTCTCCATGCATCCCATCCGTTGTCTCTCAGTCCTGGTTGGCCCCATACATGGCGTCTTACCCTAATTCACTGTGGCTGCTATGGCTTCAGGCTTCTATTCTGCACCAAGTAGCCTAGTCAGAAATCCACCCACACTCAAGACTAAAATAGGCATGCTTTTGCCTTGCACACACTCTCCAGACTTCATTCTTTGCGAGCTGGCAGCAGTTTCTGAAAGTCTGAGTCTGAAAGTCTTCGATACCTCTAACCCAGAGTCTGTAAATGTAGAACAGCAATGCTGTTTTTGTTTTGTGTTTGACTTTTTGAAATATTGTGATGTAGCACATGTTTGGAGAGCATGCAAGCATTGTGTTCATCTGGGGACTCTTGCCAGCCAGTGATCAGAATAACTGGTCATTTAGCACATTTTTGTTTTAACATTTTTTTTCAAATTTTTATTTGATTTTTTTCACTGTTCTCTATGAGGGGCTGTATAGACCATAATTCATTCTCACACTTATATACATATATTCTTACTCTCACACACATACATACTTCCCTGTCACACATACATTGTGTATTTGTCCTCTTATTGTTGTTTGTCTATCACTTTCACTGACATAGGAAGTTCTTCCCTGTACAGGAAGTAACTCTCAAACCAGGAAATTCTTTAACAAGACTTGCTTAGCATGTCCAGATGTGGTAACAGTATACAGAAGAAGATAATACAATGATGCTATTCAAATTCATTACGATCCCTTTTTTTTATTTATTTATTTTTTTTTTACAGTTTTTCACTTTGGAAGTAAGAAACAATGAAAATGATATATTTTTTGGAAATGTCTTGGGATGATCCATTTGAAGATGATGGAAATCATCATACTGAGAAGAATTTAAGAATTTTACATGATGTGACAAATAGAATATGAATATAATCTAATTCCAGTCAAATAACACTGGGTCAAGCTTTGTAATAGCACAGCATTGCACTAAATCTTCTTAAGTGTTTTTGGTCTGTTCCGGAACTTTGTCTATAAATGTGATTCTAAGTTCAAACCTCCATGTTTTCATTTGAAGATGTTTCTTTAATACAAGTTCATACTGTTATGAAAAATAGTCAAACACATGAAACATTTTATTAAAGCTTCTGGAGCTGGAGAACTCAAAAAACTATCATGAAAAATAATTATGTTTAACATTTGATATCTTTTTTGACTAGAATGACTGAAAGAACATCATTAATTCAAAATTTGTGGACCGTGATGTGAGACTGGGAGTTAGGAGGACACAATCAGTATACCCAAAAGGTAAAGTCAAGGTAAAAACAAACGTAATCTCACATAACATGTGAAATGACCTACTGAAAAAAATTCATCTTCACTACATCATTCTCAAGTACCACAATATACAAAATTTAACAAATGAACTTGCCTTTATGACTGCACAGTATGCCACATGTGACCATCCACATTTCAAAATAGAGGCTGTACTCAGATGCTCATGTGGATGAGGATGTGTATCTGACACATAAAATAGATTGCAGACCAAATTAAATCAAATCCATTAACTTATATCAACTGTTATCCAAAAATAAGTTATTATATAAATCATTTTGAATCACACAACGTTCATGTAGTTTCCCTGCTCTAACACACCTGATTTAAATTAAATGGCTATCCTCTATAGCTTGTTGTGAGGTTCTGCCAAAGCATGTCAACCAGTTAATCGGATTCAGGTGTGCTGTAGCAGGAAACATCCAAAACCTGCAGGACAGCGGGTAAGGACCTTAAGGACCAACTTTGGAGACCCCTAACTTTTTGTACACTTAATTCCAGTTTGTAGCAGTGCCTTGCCAAAACTTTCTTTCAAATAATTAGTAGTCATGGTTTATGTTGGGTCACATCAATTTTACATAATTATACAGTAACAATAGAGGCAGACAATAATACTGAATGAACTCCAAAACTGTTCCCAAAACTTAAAAAATTATTTAAAAAAAGGAGAAATCTGAAGTATTTCAGTGTTTGCTGGCTGATCCATTTAGGAAAGAGTCTGTCAACCACATCAGCTGAGAGGGTTGTTGGAGACCAGCATAGAAAGGGCCGAAAACTGTCGGGGTGAGCTTGGATTTTGTTCAGCACACCAAGTGTTCTCAGTCCATCTCGGAATCTAAGACAAAGACAGATAGTAAGACAGAGAGAAAGAGAGAGACAGACAGACAGACAGACAGACAGACAGACAGACAGATGTTATAATTGGTTTAAAAAAAAAAATGGTGAAATTAAATTATTTTGTGAAAATACAGAAAAGAAAAAAAAGACTTCTATCTTTCAAAAGATCCAGGCACTCTGTGCATGACTTGGAACATTAGAATGTCATCTACAAGCACATTCTTGTCTTCCAGCCGCGCAGTGGTCTTTGGCAGCCAGCAATAGCCAGATATTCCTGAAGTGGCTGGGTTGCTGCTCGCAGATCTTTAAATGACCGGCATTCTGTGAGCTTCCAATAGATAAAACAAACATCAAAATTTGAACAACGTGTTCAAAGCAAATGCACTGCATCATATTCTAAAACATTTTTTTCACAGAGGTCTCTTTGCGCAACATCTTCCAGAACTGGTTTGGCAAATTCTGGGCCATCAGCAAGGCAAAAGACAAAAGTTGGGGACAAAAAACCAGCAGGACCACCTTGTACAAGGGTACTGCAGTGGCCCTGCCTGCAATGAAGTACTTATCTTCTCTAATGGCTGGAGAAAAATCAGATTAATTCACAGTGAGAATGTAGAAAAAGCCTGGGGAAACCCTATAGCATTGTACATCTATATATACACATAAAAATGCAATAAAAGATTGTCTGAGTTCAGCCTATCAGTGATAGAAGTTACAATCAATACATACATATACTTTCAAAAGGTCCGCTTCGTTTTGGGAGATGCAGATGCGCAACCAAACCCGGTAATTCAGATCAAAGAAGATTTATAGTGTCACACTATATGCGTCTTCAGCGTCAACTCTTAACTGAATTTGACGTAACGATGGAAAGAGTAATTAGCTAGATTACCCGTCACTGAAAAAATTAAAGCCCTTAGTAAAACAGTTTATTTTAAAAGACTTAGCTAACTGATAACCAACAGTTATGATTCATTTTGTTTTTTACCTTTTCCTTGGCCGGGACATCCAGTTGCCAAAGTGTTTCTAAGTCTCATATCTTAAAGACTGCTGCAGCCCTCCGGTTGGGTCTTGTGTACCTGCCTGGCCCTCTGTCTGAACAGTTCTCTCATCTTATTTTCCACCGCGGGTTATGTTAGGGACAGACGAGCCCGTCCTCTGTTGCTCAAGAGACAAAGACAACGAAGTAATGACTTCAGGAGATGATAAAATATTTCTTAAGACACCAATGGCCTCTTGCAGTGCTCCTGTCTCATTTCTTCCATCCATTTCGAGCGGGACCCAAATGTGACCCCGTTCCTGCTTCTCAGCCAATCACAGTGCGATAAATTGCCTGCCTTCCGTTTCCACCAAACTCCTTCCGTTTCCACTATACTTTTTCTAACACATACATACATTCTTTCTCGCACATACACACGTACATATATTCAGAATATATGTATGTGAGAGTGTAAGAATGAATTATGGCCTATACGGCCCCTCATAATTCTCCATTTATTCATGTGAAGGTTACACTACTTGCAAGTGATGTTTCATGCAATTTCTATGTATTTCCAGGGATTGCAGTGTGGGCAGTGCTTTAGATTGTTAAACAGATGTATAATCGCATCACTAA